ACTAAGTCTAAATACAACTGACAAAGTCTGAAATGTACTCAGTACAGCCTAATAGAATGAAAAGAGAGAAAGCAGTGCTGCAACGCCGGCAGCTACCTTGCTAAACTCCGACGACTCTGCCTCCAATCAACCAATACCCGCTACCGGGTCCAAAAAATACCTGAATCTGCACGCAAGATGTAGGGAGTAAAGTGAGTACTCCGACTTAGTGAGTAATAATCATAAATAAAGACTGAGTGATAAGAAATCACGAAAAGTGCATCAACATGCTGTATAGAAGTGGTACAAAACCAGTAAGAAAATAATAAAGCTGTGAAATCTCTTAAAGCATCTTAGCTCAGTTTAAAACTTCTTCAAAAATGGCCTTTCAACAGTTAAGCAACTCAATGCAAAACAACTAGAACAGATAAGCATAGAGAATCCGCCCCTCGGGCACAGTTACACAACTAAACAGGTAAATAACATGTAATTAAACAGATAAACACATAAAGATTCGCCCCTCGGGCACAATGTCACAAATCCGCCCCTCGGACAATATCTCAGAACAATACCAGCCCCTCGGGCAATCACAAGAACAATACCAGCCCCTCGGGCTATAACTCACATCACAATGGGTACCCGTGCTCATTGGGGGTGTGCAGACTCCTGGAAGGGCCCCTTTCGGCCCAAGCGCAATATCAAGCCATCTCGTGGCATCATAAACAGGTCCTCGACCTCATATCAATATCAAGCCACATCGTGGCGTACATATCTCAGGCCCTCGGCCTCATAATCAAAATAAGTGTATCACTGCTGCGGCGTGCAACCCGACCCAAAATATATCCTCACAACACAGGCCCACGGCATTACTCAGTCAAAAATCACATAAGCCTCTCGGGCAACAGTAAAACAGTATTTCTCAGCCCAAAATATCATTTAAATATCATTTGAGTATTAAACAGAGTAAACATGGTTGAGTTTCGAAAACAGTGGAAATAACATGACTGAGTTCAAGTATAAAGTCAAAACAGTGAGAAAATATCAACAACAATCCCCGAAGGGTTCAAATAATTGGCACGGAGCCCAAATATGGCATTCAGCCCAAATAATGATGATAGCAAATAAATTTCAATCAAATACGCGGCAAAATCATCAATCGCGACGGACCCAGTCATGATCCCCAATAGTGCACGACCCCACGCTCGTCATTAAGCGTGTGCCTCACCTCAATATAGCACTACGATGTGCAATCCGGGGTTTCAAACCCTCAGAACATCATTTACAACCATTATTCACCTCGAACCGGCTAAATCTCTAGCTCGCGACGCCTTTGCCCCTCGAATTGGCCTCCACACGCATCAAATCTATCCAAAATCAGAACGAGGACGTCAAAATATGCCATGGGAACAAAGCCCAAGCGAAAACAATCAATAAAGGGCACAAATGCCGAAATTACCAAAACCCGACCCCCGGGCCTATGTCTCGAAATTCAGAAATTTTCACACCGACGGATTCCTTATCTCCCCACGAGTTCATACATATCAAAAATACTAAAATCGAAGTCCAAATGACCCCTCAAATCCCCATTTAAAGGCCTCTTAAACTCAAGCCCTAATCCTCTATTTTTGCCCTTTAATTCCTTTAATTACAGCCTTAAATTCATAAAATACTACCATAGAATTGTGTTTTAGGTCCAAAATTCTTAACTTAACGAAGTTCCCTTGAAATCCCTCTTCCAAATCGTCCAAAAGCTCTCAAGCCGAAGTTAAAAATGGTGGAATAGCTCAAACTCGCGTAATGAAATAACTTATATGTTCTGCCCAGGGATACCCGCATCTGCGGTCAAAAATCCGCTTCTGCGGTACCGTATTTGTGGTCTGAAGCTCCGCTTCTACGGAATTCACTTACTTAGCCCACACCGCTTCTGCGACTAAACTTCCGCATCTGCAGTATCGCAGATGCGGTCACCATACCGCTTCTGCGTTCTCTGCACGTCTGGCCCTTTTTTGCTTCTGCGATAAATCACCCGCATCTGCGGCGCCGCATCTGCGGTCCCCAATCCGCAGATGCGAAAATACCAGAAGCAGCAATATCAGCTGCTGCAACAAAATTCCAACCTCTCCGTTGACCACCCAAAATTACCCCGAGGCCCCCGGGACCTCAACCAAAGGCTCCAACATGTCCCAATACCTTATACAAACTTGTTCCATTCATCAAAACACTTCAAATAACATCTAATCAACTAAACACATCGGATTCAAGCCAAACTTTCTAAAATCTTCCGAATTCCGCTTTTGATCAAAAACCCAACCAAATCGTGTCCGAATAACCTGAAATTTTGCACACACATCCCAAATGCCACAACGGAACTACTGCAACTTCCGGAATTCCATTCCGACCTCTATATCAAATCTCACCTAACAACCGGAAAACGTTGAAATCTCAATTTCGCCAATTCAAGCCTAAACCTTCCACGGACTTCCAAAATGCATTCCGATCACGCTCCCAAGTCTCAAATCACCTAACGGAGCTAACTAAATCATAAAAATTCCGATCCGAGAACATATACAAACAAGTCAAATATTGGTCAAACCTTTCAAATTTCAAGCTTCAAATTGGGAACTGTTCTTCCAAATTCATTCTGATTACCCTGAAAGCCAAAACCAACGATTTACATAAGTCATAATACACCACCTGGGGCAAGTCATGCCCGAGAACTGGAGAGCAATGTGCGAAAGCTCAAAACGACCGGTCGGGTCATTACATGAAGTTATTTAGTTCATTTGTAAAAACTTCAGCACTAAATAAGCTAGTTTTTTTGTCCTGGATAAGCTTTTTTAAAAATTTCAGCAGAGATGCTGAAGTTATTTAGTTCATTTGTAAAAACTTCAGCCTTTAGCACTAAAATAGCTGAAGTTTTTCAGCACTATATAGGTTTTTAATTCTTACTTATATAAACATATCCATAAAAATTAAGATTTTTAAAAACGATAAGGGAAAAGAAATATGTCTTGGTTGGCATGAGTTTTGCAACAAGGGAAATTCCCTTGGTCTGGTTCTTATTCTCATCCTAATAATATGTCAGACAGAAAAAGCAATGAAAAAGAAACCAAGTAGAAGAAGAACATCTGCCAATGAACAGAAATTGGAATGCAAAATTCACAGAATAATTGCCAGACAAAAAAGAGAGAAAATGGAAAAATGCCAGACAACTTTAAAAGAAGAAGAAGAAGAAAACAAAGGAGGAGAAGGAGGAGGAGAAAGGGGGCTGAAGTTGTTTAAAAAGTGGGTACAAGTTAAAACTTTAAAAAAAAATGGGTATAAGTTAAATGGTGGCGACCAAATAGGGGGGGCCCGTGCAATTTTACGCTTTTTCTTAGCCACCAAAAAACTACCGTTTATGTCAAAACTAGATTTGTATGGCCCGTGACCAACACGGGCCCGACAGTGCAGCTTAAACATTTCAATTCATGTGAATGAAGATCTAACTTAAATCTCTGGTGATTTAAGCATAGTATAGATACGAAGCAAAAGGAAACAAAACCTGCCTGAGTCAATGACAAAAAAAAAAGCATTAAGGTTGAAAAACATCGAAAAACGAGAGTTTATACCTACCAACTAATAGATACATCAATTGATTCTGCATTTTTTTCCTCTTGATATTTCCTTTTTACTTCTTCCCAAAGAATTAACCTTATTGTTATTTTGACAAAGTTACATTATTTTTTGAAAAGGCACAACGATACATTATCTCAAACGTGTGAGTCACTTCTAGGTGTGCTTACGCGAGAGCAAAAGTTAAAGGAACAACATCAGCATCTCTAGATCCTCATCAAAACTCAGCCAAATTTCAGAGTCATACAATTCTATTCACATAGGCGTAGGACAATTAAAGCTGAAAGCTAAGGTGAGAAAACCAGTCACAAGCACAAATTTCAGAGTCATACAATTCTATTCACATAGGCGTAGGACAATTAAAGCTGAAAGCTAAGGTGAGAAAACCAGTCACAAGCAGCATCAGGAAAAATCCCCAATAGACATGTCATAGCTTTTCTTCGTAACTAACTTATTTTGTTGTCTACATCAGTAAGGATAACCATTCAGTCCATGAATGGTAGAATTGCTTGATCTCATTCATGATGGGGTTGTGTGGTTGATCTCTATTATCATCTCGCTAGACATCTATCTACGTATGCTAGAACCATTTAGAGCTTTAGCCTTCAAAAGTCTCCCCATGTAGCAGTAATAAAACACCATCGAGATCCATGACATGATTAAAAACGACGACCTTGTCTTTTACCCACATCCTTAATAACCCCATGCAAATCTTTTTACTTATGCTTCAATATCATCAACCATGAAGCCTATAGCCCTTCTCCATCCCAACTAATTTAGGTGTTTTAGCTATATGATGATAAAGAAGTCAAACATATACATTAAATATAGACAATTAACACCTGCAATTTCAAGACATAGACAATTGGGTTGGCTTGAATTAAGGATGAACTATGGGAAAACATGGATGAATTGAATAACTACGTATTTGTCAATAAAATTCAAGTAGGAAAGGAAAACAACGAAAGAACAACTCCTTAGAATAACTTAAGGTACCACAAAAACCTGTAGCACAGGTTTTGAAGTTATTGCTTAGAAGTTCTAGAATACCAGAGACTTCAATGTTAAGTCAATTTCTATCATTAACATAATATTGTACATGTGATTTCATATTCGATGTTAGTCACTTTTCATCTGTAACATATTGAGTAGATGTGAAATCACATAATCACCCGTGTTCAAAATATATAAAGTTCCGCACAAATTTGATGCTAAGTTAATTACTCTAGCTTCAAGTCTAGCTCTTTTAGTAAAGAAATTTCACCTATTTCTGACTTTCTTTTTCTTGCTCTCATAAATACCATAATTCCTTCATATTTTAGTATTCAAAGTCAGGGGATGCCGATAAAGTTCTTTTATGTAGCAGAAACTAAATAAAGGGAGAGCTTCTAGTGAATCACCATCAGAGTCAGGCCTCTAAGGCTTGATGAATTAATGTAAGTTATTATAGGACAAAAAAATCCAAATAATGTGACATAAAAAAAAATTCAGCACTATGACAGTAAATTGATTTGAGTAATTCACGTATTTGATTGACACTTTTAAACTTGATAACCTACTCCATACCTTCACAACTATCTTTGCAACAAGTTTTATCGGTAAAGCTCTGCAAGACTATGCTGCAAAATCCGATGATAAAGCATTCCATATACCATCAGAGCCTATTATAAGCCTTCCCTGGCATCAACATCTGAATGCTACTAAAAGAAGAAAGAAATATCTCGTTTAAGAAGCCGATCCTGTTCCAAGCTCCATTAACCTCTTCTTCTCTGGTTCAGATTCATTCTCTTTAAGTTGTTTTCCAATTTCTACAGTTGATTAGTTCATTCAAAAATATCAACCACTAACAGTATCTAAAGAGATGATGAGTAAACCAAGTATATCACAAAAGAACCTTTTTTTAATAAGATGCACGAAGAGAATCTATCCTAGCTAATAAATATTAACAAGAGATAACTTGAAGCTCCTAAGACCATGTACTTAGAGAGTCGTCGTTAGTTTCTTCTTTTGAGATCTAGGTACTCAATCTGTAGTGGCTTTACATGTAGATTTCTGATCCAAAAAGATTGTAACTTTTGTCAAACAATTTATAATTTAGTACATTTTTGAATTGGTGATAAGTTAAATCTAATTTTTGTTGTTGATACAAAGTTAAACAAATAGTAGAAATACTGCAATAGAGATATACTAGAAGCAAATGGGATATGTTTCAAAGAATAATTTCTTTAACACGACTGATACATAAAACATAATATAACATTTACTAATTTTTTAGAAGTAAATACGCTATCTTTTGGCTTAGAGGATGATGGCTGTGTATATTGTAGAATACCTATGGTAACAGGAAAGGATAAAAAAATTCACTTGTTTCAGTCATATCATCAAACACCTTAACTGCACCAAAAATCTTTTATGTTTCATCACTACACGCCTTCAACCCCGAAAAGGTCGGATTCGTGCAAAAAAGTAACATCCGAGATTTGTGAACAGACCGGCTTGTTGGACAGAGAAATCCGGATGAACCACAAGGGGGGCTGTTGGACAATAATCACATTCACGTGCGGAATACATAAAAAAAGATGAAAAACTCAATAAGCAGAAAGATTCCAATATCAGTAATCTCAGAGAAAATAGAATCACAATTTTACTACTAAGTTCATCCTTAAAGAACCCATTTACTCTCGAATCACAATTTTTTACAACTAAATTCATCTTCAAAGAACGCATTTACTCTCAAAACAATCTTATACAACTAACACCAGAAATAACAGTATATCATAAATATGCATCTATGTAGCTATTTTCAAACATCAATAAGATACAACTACTGAATGCATATAAAAAATCCAGCAAGAAAGAAATTCAAAAAATAGGAGAAAATAAAAAACTAACAAATACCTACCAAAGTCCCATTATCAAGCTCAAATGGTTCACCAAACAAAGAAAGAACTGAAAAAAGGCCATAGACATACACATACAGCACATGCCACAAAGAAGCTGGAATCAAAATGGAGAAATTTGTATCAAAAAACAGAAGCGAAAGCGTTAAATATTAGGAGGAAAAATTGGAAGAGGATTCGTGTCATTGGAAGACAGCAACAACTCATAAGGATTAGCGAAAAGTCAAATTACCTTAGTCTGGCCAAGAAGCAACAGAGCAGAGACGAAGGAAAGGGAAAGTAAGAAAGAATGAATTGCAACAATTTGTTATTACACAGAAGACAAAAATCACAGACACATATTTTGTGAAATGGGTGGAACCGTGGAAGAACTGATGCGGTGGAGGTCCAATTTTGGGATTAAAGCACAGTTTCATTAGGTGTTGTTAAAGGTCCAAATTGCCCTTGAACAAAATAAAAAAAACAGCTAATGTCGAAACTCAAGCTCTTCTATATAATAGAAGAAGGGTGAAAACTTACCCGCAATGACATTTATATCAAATCAAACTAACAGTTTCTTTCATGGCGTAAAAGTTTGAATGTGCTATCAGATCAATTACAAACTCATGTGGTGCTTTACTCATTACCATCTCTTTCATCTCCACGGATATCTAAAGATATTTATCGCTACTTTTAAATAATTTGATAGATGTCTTAGAGAGGAACTCATAGCTGTCAGCAATATTAACTGTCACAATTCAAAATTCATTAAGGATCGTGATGGCGCCGAACACCAGTGTCAGGCAAGCCAACACCAAGAAGTTAATTAATTTCTCATTTTAGTAATTTTGAAATCATTTCTTTTCCTTCCGTTAAACAATAAATAATGAACTTAACCGAGTAAATAATGATGTCTTTAACAAATTTAAATATTGAATAATCCCATAGTCATCCTAGAACCCGATGTCACAAGTGCATGAGCAAATTTCTAGGAAATAAAATGTAATACAATAACTGTCCGGAATACAAATTGGACAAAAAAGAAAATACAATATTCTGAAGGAGACTCTGCTGACTGCGGGTCGTCTCGAGAGATGCAGCTCACCTAAGTCTCTGTATCAACCATGCCGCTGCGCCCAACGAGGCCACTAGACATACATGTGCCTGTGCAACAAAAAAACAGCAAGTGTAGTATGAGTACGAAAACAACGCGTACCTAGTAAGTATCTAGTCTAATCTCGAAGAAGTAGTGACGAGAGGTCGACTTCGACACTTACTAGTGGTGCAATAATAAAATACCAATAATGTGAAAAATCATGGATTTTTATAAGGTGACTGCAAACTCAATAAACATGAAGCATGTACAGTTCTTTGGTTAATATAAATTTTCAAGCTTATTTTCATCTTTTAAAAATATACATCTTTGGCCAATGAGGCCACATCAATTATCAATAATTCCAAAACAATCAATCAAGTCATGCGCAAATCATGCTGAGGTCGTACGGCCCGATCCAATAAATATTTAAACTGTGCACCGCCAGAGGGTCAAATGACGCGAACTATAGATACATCTATTACACCGCTCGCGAATCATATATGCACGGTCAAATATAAATAAAAGAATTACCCCGCTCGTGAATTATACATACGACGCGGTTACACATAAATTAAATACATTCAAACAGTCAATCAAGAATTCATTAGGGAAATAATTACCCAAAGAAATGGCAACTTCTCTTTTAACAGTCAAGAAAGTGATGTTTAACCCTTTAGAAATTTATTTACCAAGCTCGATGTGATTTAAGCAATTTAAATTGACAATACGGTTACGAATATTGCAAGTAAAGCATGCTTTTGGGTCCTAGACTACCCGGACTTAAGCATAATAGTAGCTACGCACAGACTCTCGTCACCTTGTGCGTACATAGCCCCCACAAATAGGAGCACATATTTAATTATTTTACCTACGGGGTTAATTCTCTCTTACAAGGTTAGAAAGGAGACTTACTTCGCTCCGGAGTTCCATAGCCGGCTCCCAAGCCTTTCCAACAATTCAAACCGATGCCCAACGCTCCAAAACTAGTCAATAAATAGGCAAAATTCATAAAAATATACTCTAATACTCACAACAATTCGATTTAAATAAATTTCCAACTCCACTCGAAAAGTTGGCATTGGGGCCCACATCTTGGAACCCGATAAAACTCACAAAATCCGACAACCCATTCCGATACGAGTTCAACCATACCAATTTTATCAAATTCCGATAACAACTTGACCTCCAAATCTTAAATTTTCTGTTACACCCCGTAAGTTTAACAACCTTGATACCGTTAGATATTATGTTAGTGCGGTATTTTCTTTTAGTGAAGTATTTTAGTAAAAGTATTTTTTAGTATAATTTTGGATAGTTACCATTATTGCTATTTTCGGGTATGGTAAATTATACTCATAATATAAGAAAATTTATGAGATTTTCTTTATTGCAAAAAAAAAAAAATAGAAATTATTTTCTTATAAAACGAGAAAGTTATCTTTTTATTGTTTTAAGTACTTATAGTAGAAAAATTTGTATTGTGATATTATGTTGTGAAAAAAAATTAGGATTTGACAGGATATGATTTTATTTTTATCAATGCCCTAACCTTTAAAAATATTAACATATTTATTTTGTTACTATGTATAATTATTACCTTTTGATTGATAAGTTTGTAAATAACACTAGCCACATATTTTATTAGATAAGTATTAACTTTTGGAATAAGTATTTTAGCAAAGCAGATGTAGTAATCTATTTAAGAGACCTCCTAGTACTACGTGTCATGTGATGATATTTTACTTAATTTGAATGTTAGTGGAGTCTTGGTAAAGGACAAATCTTTTCAATATATATCAAAATACTTAAGAGTTCTTCTACACTAAGAAATAGACTTTTGCAAAAGTTTGGTGATGGGGTGTGTATTTCAGCCGACCTTATCCTCTCTATATATATATAATGTTTTAGAAACCTTATCATTTGAGAAAAGGAGGGAATTATTAGATATATATTTACGTTGCAGCAACTATGTGAGGAGAAACTCCATCTTGCTCGTTCCTTTTTCCCTAAAACAGTGAAGTGCACAAAGTTTCCTCTACGTACAACTTCTCCATATTTTCATACATTCAATTAAGGTAAGTTTTATTTTAAGGCATGTAATTGTTGAGAACTCACGGGACGGTGATCGGAAGCCGTGAGTTCAAGTCGTAGTAATTGTATAAATAGGTTATGGGCTCTTTTCTTATGGTATGGAGATTGAGGGTTGTGTGGTAGCTCGTGTAAAGCTTGGTTTTTGTTTAAAGGATGTTGGTTGTGGAGTACACCATTGTTTAAAGCCTCGGGAGCTTGTCGCTCTTTGATTTCGTGATGATAGTGTCGGTATAGTTGTAGTTTTTAGTTGACGTTGGTTGTGTTGTTATTCTTATGCTTCGTGAATTTGAAAGAATAAAGTGTACAAAGCTATCATATACGAGCATACTGGTTGTTATGGCTGTTATAACTTGTGGGAAATCATATAAGCAAGGGAGGTGCTGTCCGTTTCATCGTAAAATAGGTTGTGGTCGATACATAATAGTTATGACGCTTGAATGGTAACTATAATATCGTTTCTCTTATTGTAGACTAAGGAGTCGTGAAAATTGCATAGCTTGAGATTGGGGCAGTATATACAAGGTATGTGAGGCTATCCCTTTCCTTCTTTTGCACGACTCCGATTGTACATAATGTAATGAACGAGCTTCCAAAGATACTCTACTCTTAGAAGCTAGCAGTACTTACATTGTTTCCCCTCTTATGGAACGAGTGATGTTGATGTTGCTTCTCTTATTCTTATGTTATCAATGTTATTGGTACTTCCTGATTCTTATAAGGTTCATGGTGCAGAGGATACCGACCTTACGTCACTCCGAAAGGTTTAGAACGTGAGTCCATGAGTCGAGCATGCATTATATATATGTATCTATTTTACTCTACCGAGCCGCGCTATAGTCGGTCGGGTACGGCACCTATTGTGCAACCACTGATCAGTTGGGTTTTACCGAGCTCCACGTGGCCGGGTACGTTTTTACCGAGCCTATTACGGCCGGGTACGATATGATGATGATGATGCCCACAGAGGCGTATGTTTTAAAAGTTTATGTATATATACATATGTATCACGCATTTCATGTCAGTAGCCCTTAGAGGTACCCAGATGTTACAGGTTGTTTATTCTCTATCCCTGCTTACATTACTGTTCGTACTTATGGTTCCCTGCCTTACATACTCAGTATTTTATTCTTACTGACGTCCTTTTATTTGTGGACGCTGCATGTCGTGCTGCAGGTCCTGATAGACAGGCAGGCGCAGCTCCCCCACCATAGTAGGCTGTCCAGTTCAGCGGTGATTGGCGAGATCCCTTCTTCGGACTTGCCTTGGTCTTGGTATGCATTTTTGTTATAGATATTATGGGTATGTCGGGGCCCTGTTCCGGCTATGTTGCAACACTTATGTTCCTTTAGAGGCTCATAGACAGGTGTCGACTCATGTATAGTTTGGTAGGCCTTGTCGGCTGGTTTTTGTTGTATAGTCTCTCATGGTAGTGTGGTAGCTCGTACCTTATATATAGTTTCTTGATTGTCTAGTCATCCCATGTTATGTATGTTCATGCCATCATATTTTATTGTTAGTTGTCCATGACCCATGTCTACCATTTATATTGATCTCGTCAGCCCTAAAAGATAATAAAGAAGGTTAGATAAAATGTATGTTGGTGCTCGGTAAGAATGGCCGGGTGCTAGTCATGGCCCTCCAGTTTGGGTCGTGACATTTTCGTTCTTGAAAAGTTTTGCAAAAATCTTGATTTCTTCCATTTAAATCCGAAATAAATGATGAATATAATCATAGAATAATAAAATATAATTACTTTCGGATATAGAACACTTACCCCAATTCACATGGTAAAAATCGCCTCAAAAATCGCTTCAATCCGAGCTTCATAGCTCCAAATATGTTAAAAATGGCCGAAACCTAAAATATAGCTTCTGTCCAGGTATTTACTCTTCGCGATCGCGAAAAATGCTTCGCAATTGCGAAGCACAACATTTCTCAGCCCAAAATTTGACCTTCGCGGTCGCGGAGAAAGCTTCGTGATCGCGAAGAACAAATGCCCAGCTCTTCCATACAGCCTCTAGTATAATGGCCATAACTTTTTGTACAAAACTCTAAATTGCAAATGGTTTAACTTTTTGAAAACCAAACTCCAAGGACTATAACTTTTATGCCTTGCTCATCTCCCAGTTCTTTAAAGATTACAAGATATAAGCTCCCAAAGTCAGCCTTGTGCATCACAAATTTCTTCTTCATCTTCCCGGGCAGCCTGTAGTGTACCGACCATAACTTTTGGTACACAACTCCAAATGCCAAATAGTTTGATTTTC